TTATTTTTAATAAGATGCTAAAGTGGTAGGTAGATGCAAGATAAAGGTAGAAAACATAGTTTAGTGCTGTAAGAGGGCAAATGTAGATGATCAGGTGTGTGCCTATGGACTAAGTATTAATCCAGGCTAGACAAGGGCAACAAAACATCCACGGATGCAGAAGATTTCTCTCAAAGCAGGGGGGGGTGAGGTTCTAAGCCTCACCTCTGTTGATCCCCAATTTCTCACCTGATGGCCCTCCTGCGACTGTTCTCACCTGTACTTTATCATCTTTGCGGACTGTGTGTGTTAAGTGTATTTGGGGGCCTGTGTTTTGAAAGTAAGTGATCTTCTATAGAATGACTCAACAGCTTTCAATATTTTCTTCATCAGGAGTCAGGAAGTATGAGGTGACAAGGACTGAATAGTGCAGTTTCTGGAGGAGTTTTGTAATAGGCTCTGTGGCAAGATCCCTTCTTTCTGTGGTTACAATTCTCTGGGGTTCTGCCTGTGAAGAATGAAAACATGGTGGGCACCCGGCAGGCACGCAAGCGTTGTCAGCTACCTGTGTTCCCTTGGAACTCCTCTTTGTTTGCACCTGTCACTCAAGGAAGCATAAAGAGGTCTGACAAACAGAAGAGCAGAAAACAAGGTTTCCTTTGCCGTGGCAAAGGGGAAACTCCAAATGCTCACAGGTCCAGTTCTGGTTACTGACTTTCAGCTGGGCAGTATTGGCACAAACTATGGTAAAGGACCAATGTTTTGTTTTGTTTTGTTTTTAAATTGTATTTCTTATTACTGCAGATTGGTACCTTTTATAAAAAAAAATAACGAAGATGAAATACAGAAAACAAAGACATGCAAAATATAATCATGTGCTGGGATGTCTCAGCAAATTTCTGTCAGTGATTCTAAATGCATTCTCCCGATTTCTGTACTTATCTCAGTGTGAGCCACTAACAAATGGTTCATGGACATCATGTCCCCCACCCGGCCCCAAGTAAGTTTGGAGCATGTACACAATCTCCAGGACATGGCTAAACCAACGTGGGGGGAGCGCAGTAAAGATGTGAGAAGCTCCTCCCACGTAGGCCAGCACCTGCCCGTAAATGAGGTGTACCATGTCCTGACAGTAGAGGTCTGCCTGTTCTGGGATGAGAAGACCCTCCTTTTGTTACTTGAGATGACGTGTTCTGTGGAAGAAGCAGACGTGTTCTGGCTAACTCTGAGGGTCCAGTAGCCTGTTTACTGACCAGGGCCTTAGACCCCACTTTTAGTGCTTTGTCCTGAAGGAGCCTGGAAGTGGCCTGGCCTTTTTGTTTCTCTGTCTCTCAATTCTTCCTTTAAGTCCTCTCTGAGGACTGGTCCCTCAGGTACTTTATATTGTCCTCGCTCTGTGGCCTCAGACACGGCCAGCCCAAGCCTCTAAAAAAACGATAGTTTCTCGAGTATGTTCCAGGCTTCCCAGTTCTTTCCCCCTTCTGGTTCCTTCTCCCATCCCTCCCCACCCACATGCCTCCATTGCTTGGTGGCTTCCTTTCTCCTTTGAAAGGATCTAATGTGCATGTCACCCTAAGGAATACTTGACTTTCTGGTAACTTAAGCCTATATGAATGGAAGTTTTAAGCTTGTTCCCTTTTCTTAATGGTCACCTTACTGAAACTCACTGTTATAGTAAGTCCTGACTTCCGTAAAGCCTGAACATGCATATGGCATGCTGACACACAGCCCAGGTAGTCCTTACCACCTGGTGCAGAGCACAGACAAGGGCATTACAATGAAAGGTACCAGAGGTACGTTCCGTGCCTGTCCTCCACACAGGGCACACTTTCTGTTAGGAGTACTTCTTGGTCCTGATGAGTTCTAAAAGATTAAAGAATTACCCTTAGAATGCATCCTGATAAGGCCAGAGCCCTCAACCTAGGGAAGCAAATTCTTAGATGCAAAGAGGGTTGTGTTAGAGCCAGTGGCCATCTCAGTGCCCTGACCTCACACTAAGGTGGTGGTAGTGTACTCTAACTACATCTAAACGAGCACCAGTAATAGATGTCATTAGTCAGAGCTCAGTGACTGCTTTTGCTGGAGCAAAAGCCGCAGGGGTACTGTGAGCCTGCCTGAGCCATAGGCAGAAGGGTGAGGAAGGCCAGAAGGAAGGTAGTATAAGAGTGAGGTGTGGAGAAAGAGAGGAAAGAGGAATAGGTATCAATGTTGAGGATGGAACCATTAATGTATAGGTTGACTGGGTTTACTTGCAGGACAGTTATTAGAAATAAAGTGTTTAAATGTCCTTGTTTACAATTGATTGAAAACACTGATTCAGTGTCTTGTTAGCCTAGTAGAATAAATAATTCTGTAGGATTACTAATTCATTCTTCATTCAGTCATTTATTTGATGAGTCAACAATTATTGAGTATTTATTGTATACAGGATAGTGGTTAGGAATTCAAAGATGAAT